GTCTGGAAGGTGAGGTTAAAAATGACAGATCTTTGTATTTATTATAGAGAATGATAAAAACTAGTATTCTGAAGAAATATGGAGAATTATAAGAGAATTCATGATAATTGTTGTTTGAGTTGGTGTCTTTAATTTTTGTTTTTAATTCATTTTTAAGTGTTTCAAGTTGTTTTGATTTTTGTTGTATTTTTACTTTTCTTTTGAACATATTTTGTGTATTAAAAAGGTGCAGATATAAGATTTATTCTTCTGCTGCTGCCTTTCATTTTATTTGATTTCATTGTGATTGCATTTTTTGTACTTTGTTAATTTGTGTTACAAATGAAATGAATAAAGTTTAAAAAAAAAAGGAAAGAAAAGGTCCTACCCGTCCATTTTTGCAGATGTAGTCRAACAGCTCACCTCCTGACACATACTCCATGACCATGAAGAAATCTGTTGGTGTACTGATCACCTGGTAACTGGAACAAGAAAAGACATTTATTAGCTGTGTAGAGTTTACTGATAAATCACCTCCAAGCCTTTAACTCATTTTATAAAGTCCAAAGCATGCAGAGAAAATCAAGACAAGGTTCATTCAGAGTCTGAGGTAGATAATCTTTTTATAAAGCTCAGCAGCATRAATCACTGCCTGTGGGAAATTCATCAAATCTGTTTAATTCCAGTTAAACCAAGTGAAGCCTGAGAGTCCAAATAACTCCAAACCCAACCACAAGTCCTGTTTGATCACAAAACAAAGTTTTTAATAAACTATTAAAACCAGCTGCTGTTTGTTTTGCTTTGTGTCATTTTTACAGACATGAATATGTCCAGGCCTAAGATCTGAAGTAGGGCTGGGCGAAGAATCGCATTTTCATCTTGATTATGATTTGTTCAAATTTCCGTGATGTGAAAAACACGGACGGAATCCAGTCATGGAATCCAGTCACAGAATCCAGTCACAGAATCCAGTCAGGGAATCCAGTCATGGAATCCAGTCATTGAATCCAGTCACGGAATCCAGTCATGGAATCCAGTCACAGAATCCAGTCATAGAATCTAGTCATGGAATCCAGTCATGGAATCCAGTCATGGAATCCAGTCATGGAATCCAGCCATTGAATCCAGTCACGGAATCCAGTCATGGAATCCAGTCA